GGGATACCAATTTGTTATTTGGCTAAATAAGCGTTCCTGTGAGAAAAGCCCCACAATTTAAGTCACAGACGAACATATGAAAATTAGTTAATGTCAGCTAACTGAAAAATATATCAATTAGAAATAAAGCCTTTGCCTGTAGACACCCTAAAGCTATAAGGCCAATTGGCCGCAGTCCAAATAATTAAAATCAAAGAAAAGATACCCCCAACTCCATTTAGCATCTCGTTGATCGTTCAAAAGAAACATTAAACCCCAATTACTACATTGAGATCATATAAAGCAAGGAGGGAAAACACTACGAGGAGTAAATATAATTGCTTTGTCAATAGAGAAATAAGCAATCCATCATATTAAGGATTTGCATTATATTCCTACAATGATAATTAGCATTTGCAATATTAACAAGCCACATTACTCAGCATAGAAATTAGCAAAAGAATAGTACTACAAATAAAGCACATGGTTCTAAATATGTATTAGCTAAACCAAGTTTATTTATGTAATGAGTACATCCTTTGTTAAGTGACATTGATTTCTGCTACTAGTAAATCAAACTTCACCCAATATACAAGAATTTAAGACACATTTATAAAATTCATGGCAACGTTGTCAACTAACAATCATTTCCAAACAAAATAAGCGGAGAACAAAAAAAGATAGAAGTAAACATACCTTCATGATGTCAATAAAATTATCGTCTCACAAAACCAGAAATGCTAGATAAATTTTTAATACGAAGCTTTGAAGGGATCACTCTATCATGATTATAGGTTTCCTTATCTACAACTTTCATGATGTCACTAGCCCAATATATAGCATGTAAACCATCTCGAATCTCTTATCAACTCTCGACAGATGCATGGTAATCCCCCAAATCTTCCATAATTGTAATCTCCTAGTCTCGTCCCTTAGAATTTATCTATAGAAATTTCAGAAATTTTGAAATTTTGTGATTTGAGAGAAATCTTTTTGGCAGTTCTAGTGTAGGGATTCAATATTAATATATATATATATATTTTAT